TACTTCGAGTAAGATTCTGTTTAATAGATCGAATATATTAAAAGGTATTCCTTCAGACATTAAAATTGATTGTTCACTCAAAAAATTTCTCTCTACATTTCACGCGGTTTCCAGTTTTCCGGACCTACTCATTATATATTTTAAATATGACCGAAGGAACTTGCAAACATTTGCTGTGGTTGCGTAGCAGAGATTACATTATATTGACAATGTATAAATGTTACTTATTATTTTAAGTAATTATAAACACAATCATATAATATGTGGACATGGCTTTGATTTTAGCAAAAGCATAAAGATATTTGAAATAATTCAAAAGCTGATTGTAAATAAAAATATCAAGTTCTTAGAGCTTTAAAAAGCAAACCTTTCATATTAAAACAGATTTTAACATATCAAATCCAACGTTTAAGTTATTTTAATGAGAAATTCACGACATTTACCTCTTGATGTGATCTAAAATTGATGCGATCACAGTCGACTGATCACAGTCGAAACTAAGCACTTAAGTCCGTCCCCGATTTAAACTTTTACCCCGTAGATATCTTATAACACACGAATTTCATTTCGTACGTACTATGACACAATGACACTGTAAACACAACGGCATTCGTTAATGTGACTTGTTTAAATATGTATCCGTAAACTATGCGCTATGCGAGGTGGGGATCAACCGTGCAAGGGATACCCCAAGAAACGGATATCGATATTTTCGAAATTCGATTGATTTTGCGAGCACTTATTAAGCTCCAATATTATATCAAAATTGCGTTCATTCAGCATTCTTTTCTTAAAATTATTTTTATAGGTACACTGGCAGATTACAATAAATGTATATCATAGAGTAAAATTAAGTATTTTTAAGGTTAGACTGCCATCCTTAATAAGTGGTCACAAGATGAATACATTTGGAACAAATGTTGAGACTACAAATAAAAAATATAACAAAAAATGCACTGTGTGGTGAATAAGGTTCATTTCATTATAGTATAAGATAATTTTTTTATTTTGAAAAATCTTAGATCTTAGATTATCGTTAGATAAGGAAGTTCGAATTCAATATGCGTTGATTTTATTCTAATGATTTGAAAATACAGAATACACTATTGTTAATAGAGAAAGTATAAAAGATGAAATAACGTAACAAGAATTATAAAAAATACAGTAAAATAATACAATGCTATCATGTCAAGGATATCTTTAGAATGTAGAATTGTAGTTCAAGGTTGTCAAAAAATTTTAATATTCATGACAGTGGAAAGGATTGCTAGATTTTCACGCGAATTTGTTACGTAAATGATTTGACTTTACCGATGACGACGCATAGGACAGCGCCGGTAGAAAGTACCAACGTGTTTCAACAGTTATCCTTATCATTGAATATATTTAATTTTAATCGAAGAGCTCGATGTTGCAGTTGACGCACTTGATCCGTGATACGATTGTTAAGCAACATTCGCAAGGGCCGATCATAGGATGGATTAACAAAAGTTTGTTATCGGGCTTCTTCGTGCTTCGTAAGGCACGTTAAGCCGTCGGTTCCGGTTGCATCTGCAATCGTTGACACCCATCAATCGGTCAGATTCATTGTTCCTATTTGCTTTGATTCGATTCCATCCTTAGGCAAGGCCTGAGCCCCCAATAGTAAAGACACTAATATGCTGATAATGATGATGATAAATCGGAAGTGCACATTCAAGAAAACAGTGGAACAATCTGATATTTTATGTTTATAATTAAACGTTACTCCGACGAAGGCCAAATCAAAATTAATTTGCATTTCAGCAAAGAAAAAAGTTGCAAAATTATAATTATGGCAAACTATAAAATTGAGGAAGGTATTCCGTCCACATTCGTTAGGATTTAACATAAAATTAAACTCCCAGCGTTCAGGGTCTCAATTCTGCAATTTTTAAAGTAACTATCGTATCTGTCTACCTATAGTCCAATTATTATTGCAACGTCTTCCTCACAAATTAATGGTGACAGGTTGTATTATTTTGTGATCTAGTAAAAAGAGATGTATCATAAAAAGTGGTTAAAGCACTATTAATTTCCATAATTACGTTACGTTGCTAAGTAGTAGAATAGCCATACAGAATCTGTACTTGACCGGTCAAAGAGTTCGCCAGTCTCATATTGTTCGTTAATCAAAAGTAAAAGTTACATTGTAGAAAAATTCCCCGCGTCGAAGAAAAGGAAATATAGACGACAATTAATTGTCTCCTTTTCACGTCCGCGTAAAGTTGGTCGCCTTCGGCTGTAGCCCGCGGCGCCACGACACGGATGACACTTAGAGGGTGATTCACTCATTTAAGTTCAAACAAGTTAATCGGTTGAACTGACAAATCTACAATACTGACATATTCGTGACGTGCTTTATAACCCTGATATTACATAATTCAACAAGATTATTTATTGAAAATAGGCATATTTAAGAATTGCTTTAAACAAAAACTTCAAGTAGAATTATGTCAAAAACTCGTGTGGAATATACCAAATTTAGGACAAAATACTTTTACTTCCGCCCAGCGGACATAAATGTGAATAACCTCTAGGTGTGAGTCGCAATAAGTAATTTATAGTCTACCGTTTACACTATGCTTCCGTCATAAAGTCCACTGCGTCGGAACAAAGCACTGGCAACTTCGCATTACATTCTAGAACCGATCTAAAATGCAATTGGATAAAAGAAAAAAAAAAAAACTTTTAGGAAGCGGATTTAGTTATCGGGCGATCTCTTTAAATCTAAACAGTGACACTTCCTAAATTTAAATAAACACACGGATACATTATTATGATTGATAAGCACACATCTCTTTATGGATTTCCGCGTATGAAATCAGACACGAAATAATATTCCAGTTTGGCTGGCGTCAATATATTCATTCGAGACAGGTTTTGTTTCTGTCTAGTTTCTGGTGAAGATAAATTTACTGTTGGTGTTTAATCAATTCGTGTTTTTTTTTATGCAGTCATTGCCCTTACATCCCGGATGTATTTACCTATAGTTGTATTATTTATTGAAGTGCACTTTTATTTCTTATGTTTTATTTTTAAATATGTTGACGTCAAATACTATTCGATTAACGTATTATATGTAAACAAGTAATTGATATGCATAATTAAGTTAAAATTAGGATGACCATTAGAATTCCAATGAGAAATAAATAAGATAAAATTTTATACAAATTTTATATTTTAATACAAATGTTTTTGTATTTCTTGTACGTCGTAACCAAGCTTTATATAAAGAGGGCAAGCTGAAGACTGAAATAGGCGACTTTTTACAGTGTGATAAGATCAAACAAAAATCTATAGTTTTTGACATACAAAAATATAAAGTTCGAGGTTCTAGAGTGTAATATAATATATTTAAAAAAAATTCAAAAACTAAAACCCGACTACAGATAAATCACGATCTTAAAAGATTAAAGCAAGAAATTTATTTTATAACTATATTATAATGGAGATGACCAAAGGACAGTGTAGTCCTATTCTACAACAGTTTTTCTTATGATCAGTGGCATATAACTATTAAAACTGTAGAACCTTGAACTGTATATTTTATGTCAAAAGCTTTAGATATTTGTTCCTTCCTCCCTCTATCTAAACGGTGGTTGATAAAAATTCAAACGTTACTGCAGTAGTACCTATAAATAACGAAGTTAAAAGGAAAACTTAAGTTGGCTTTACAAGTTTACGAGTAATAGTCAACCAATTGTATTTAACTCGAAAATTTCAAATAACTTCATAGAAAACAACGATTTTTTTTTAACTTTCTTATTGCATACATAATGCGTGCAATCTCTGTCTAACATTAAAAGAGGTTTAGGATACAAAGATAAAATAAGTTAAGTTGTCGGCGCTGAGACCACCCTTAATCAATTTTGGAAAAATAAACAATAGATTCAAGTGCTGTAAGAACTATAAATGTTAACTTACCAATAAACAGACTGAATTCCTTATCTGAATGATGTTGTCCTGAAGACTGTGAAGACGAACAGGACTCGGGCCCTTTTATACACCATCCACTTCGTTTTTCCCAACGAAGCGTGTCGGAACTGCGGGGATGCCATTTCTTTGCACTAACCTTATTTTAACTAATTAGTTTTAGTAGCATACTCCCTATATGAAGTACACCATGAATGGGAAATAAAGTTGTGTGTGTTGATCTTACGAACTTATGATATTGAAAATTCTGCCTCCGTGAATATAATTGGTGTACATAATAAGGGCTTCAACATTATTGTTGCGCCGCAACCGCACATGCAGTGTAACAGGACACGGACACTATTGAACATGTATATAATCAAGGTATCTCTGACAGTCCACTGTGCAGAGTCTGCCTGGAGGAGGAGATGACGATTCTCACGTTCTTCTGCACTGCAGGGTGCCGAGGCAACGGTCTGCACACCTGCGCAGCTCAAAGACATCACTTGATACCTGAAACGATGACGAGACTACGATGCTTCTTGAGGGAACTGGGATTAGGACTAAAGCCTGCGCTGTTGCACGCAAAATAGCACGCGTAGCTTGATAAACTCGAGAAATGTTTTGTCACTGTCACTTTCCTACACTCAATGTCACTGTCATATCTCGGGTCGAGACACTTCTATAGGAAAAAAAAATGTCAGAGCACAAATCATATTGTGTAAATCACATTCACATTTTTCTCTTTATTTTTTATTATGATATTAACCTATAAACCGTCGCTAATGATATCCCCACCGAATCCGAAGGTTGATCCCCTTTTTATTAATATATCTACAAAATTTAAATTTTTTTTTTCAATTAATATAAAGTTATTAACATATCTAATTACTAATAATTGTATTAGTTAAACTGTAAGAATAAAAGTGGACTGATTCTGGAACTTAGCCTGTTTTATGTTAACTCTAAGAAGATGAAAAATAATATTAATTACAAACGATTTGAAAACAATTTACTCACAAAATATAACAAATAACAAAACGAAAATTAATTTAACAAATTGAAGTTTAGTTTTCAACGTTCGGCAGTTCGTCAACTATACTAGCCAGAACAAGGTTTTTATCGGTTCCTTGCGGCCTCTTTGGTTCCAAAGCAGATCTCATTTCTAAAGCTTGGGTGTCGGTTTCTAATGATTGCTCTTTATCGTTCAAATCTATGCCAATCTTGATAGAAGTAGACTCCAAAGCGTTGTACGTGGCCCTGAAAATAGAAGTAAAGTCCAAAATATTTTAAGCTGTTTAAAGATAAAAGTTAAAATATTTTAGAGTTTTGCTTGAGAGTTATTTTATTTCCCAAAATCATCATCACCACCTGTATAATGTTTTCATTTGAGAAATTCAATGACGCGATGCTGCGGGGATAAAAAAATTTTTTTTCGAGCTTTGTCGGAAGGTGGAAGGTACTTCATTTGCAGTCGCCGATACCTACCCATCTCCGTACTGGGCCAGCATGGTGGGCCATTAAGAAAATTAAAATTATTTTATTTTACTCACAAATACAGAAACATGATTACATGTTATCGACTATACACAATACGAAAATAAGACCGCCTGTCGACTTTGTGAGGAACTGGTGTCTGTGAGGGGCGATAACCTGGTGCATAGAGCACCAGGACCTACTCCACGGGGAATATGACTATTTTCGCTTTAAATAACGAAGTAACTGTCGTGGTAATTTTACTACCAGGAAAATATTGGAAAAACAATAAAAAAAAATTAAAAAAATAACAACAATTAAGTAGCAAATTTGTTTTTGAATGTTTGTGTATGTTATGTAAGTGTACAGAGAGTTCTTACACGTTTACTTACCAGTTTTGTGTGAATGTGTTGTAGTGATGTGTATTTTTATATAATAATTATTATTACTTTATATAATAGGGCGATGGTAATGATGACATATCCGTCTCGCACACTTGATACTATAAAAAATTTAAGTAGTACTCGTATTTTTCTATAAGATAAACTAGAATTGTAATGATAATTTCATCTTAACGTTGAAAGTTTAAAGACATGACTAACGAAATTATAATAAATTTATTGTCATTGTAATTTCAGGAGGACTAAACTACTAAATATCCGTGACTGAAACAAAGACAAATGATCATTAAGCTCTAACCATTTTGCATTAATGATGACAGCAGCGTATAATTGTTTAAACACTTAAGTTTCTCCAACACAAAAGCGTCTTCACAAAGTACCTATCTTTGCTCGCATACGAAATGAAGATAATCTTTCATAATGGGGATCCCTATCGCCATTGTGAATGGAATTTTTGATAATAACTTCATGGTAAGATTTCACGCTTACTTTGTTCAAGTGGCTCACCTCTGTTAAGCTTCGGAAATTACAAATGATATTAATTAAATCATTTCTAACTTTAATAAAATGTGTCTAGATTGATTTTGATATTGCAATTTTAGTCAATAAAGAAGTTCGTAAAGTAAAATATATTTCAGCTTTCAAATGCTCTTAAATTTACAACCTAATCTTATGTTCTTTTCAATATGTTCTTTTCAAAAAAATGGTCCCTGAAACGACTGTCAGCGTCTAGCATGCTACTAAAAACGATTAAGTTCCACTGACTCATCAATATACACCAAAAAAGGGTACTTATACTAAAAAGTTTTGGTGTAACATTTGTTATGCTTAGGTATTTATGTTCTCTTTATTTTTTTATACAAATATGAATTATAAAACTGAAGTAAAACTGGCTAAAATTTATGGCCATCTAGTATGATGGGATAATCGCAGAGCAAAGTCAAAGTATACGTGCAAGTGATACTGTTTGTGTTTTGCTATTGTTACATTCATCATCCCTATACTTGAGAAAATAAGTTCTAAACGTTGTATGCCTTACTTTGCACAGTCTAATTTATCTTGCAGTTGGCGTATAGTTTCTCTCAAGTTGCGGACCTCTTCCTTCAGACCGATGTCGGCTTCGTCTGCGGCTAGTTCGATCCCCGGCCGGTATCCGCGCGTCTCCAGACGTGTCTCGGCTACTTTAAGAGCGTTTACCTTGTCGGCGAATTGTTCGCCAATGATTTTCAGTTCTGAATTCAACTTGTCCATGTTTTCCTCCATCTTCAAAAATAATTTTTATTATTATCTACTGACATGCATGATAAATCTTCTTTAATATTTCTTTATCCTACAGAGAAAACCGCGTCGTAATTTTTTGTGTGGTTTAGGAGTTAAAAGGGTAATAAAAATGGCCTTTTTTAAATATATTAGAAAAGATAATTTGTAGCGACTTTAGCAGGTCTCTTAAATTAACGAGGTGAAGATCGATTTTAGTTTGTACTAGGGTAGTATCTAAATCTATTTATTTATTAAACACTGTGTTTTGTTGTATTGGATAATTGAATATATCTGCATGATATTGATTAAAAAGTTCGTATAGGTTGTTTAATAATAGAGCTTTTAAAAGCAAAAAGTATAACTTTATTTTTTTTTTAATTTTAAGCATTTTTAATTAAAGATCTTTATTTAGATGTCAGAGCACTGGTCTTTTCAAATAATATACGTATTGTTTTATTACCTTTCCTTTGTTTTTATGTAAGTTTATAACTGACAGATATTTAGTTAAAATTAGCTTAGTTTAAGACTCCAGTATAGCAGGCCCTCGGACTGTGAGCTACAGCTAGTATTTAAATAGAGGGCTTGATATTGTCCGTGTCAACGACGATACTTCTTACCTTCATCTTCTGCCACTGTAGTTCGTTCCTAGCCCTTTGAGTATCGTAGATCCTCCGGCGCAGCATATAGTTTGTGACGTCAGTTTGCGCACGCAGAGCATTACGAGCGCGGCCCCTTGCCACAAACAAGGACTCGCGGAGCCGTAGTGTGTCTTGCAGTTCATCAATCGCCATCTTTTTCGTCGCTTCGCATTTTTCTAACCATTGTTCGTATGTGATCATTCTGAAAGTAATTTTCAATTATTGTTTACTTTTGGGACTTAATCAAAATGTTTATTGGTTTCATCTTTAAAAACAATATTATTAAAACAAGAGAACAGCTTGTAACCCTGAGTAGCTCGGTGGCGTAGTGGATAAGCGGCCGCGGCCCGCGATCGTTGTCGTTAAGCAAGTTTCGCAAGGGACAGTCACGGGATGGGTGACCAAAAAATGATTATCTCAAGCTATTCCGTGCTTGAGAAGGCACGTTAAGCCGTTGGTCCCGGCTGCATTTGCAGTCGTTACCCTCCAATCCGCATTGGGCCAGCGTGGAGGGTCATGGCCCATCCTCCTTAACCATCCATAAGGAAGGCCTGAGACCCAGCAGTGGGGACGTAAAAGGGCTGGTGATGATGATGATGAGCTTATAACCCATTACGAAGATCCATGGATTGATGGGTGTTCGTTCATGACTGCGGATAAAACCAGGACCAAAGATGTAATGTCCTTTCAGAGATTAAAAAGCCATTCGACGACTTGTGTTTTCTATAATTGCTTAACATACGCAAACGCTTTTACTATATACTATCAAACTTTGATATTGTAGCAAATTGCGCCGTTTGTTTTTTTGTCAAAATCCACTTTTAAAACGACTTGTAAACAAGATGGTGTAGAACTACATTAACATAGGTCGTCAGTATATCGTCAGCTTAATTTATCATGATATGCAACTTTGAAATTTTAGAATTTCTGATTTTATTAAAAAGAAGAGTCATTCAAAAACAACGCTAGCGATGTGTAAGCAAGGCAATAGTACCAATCTGTAAATAGTTGATCGTCTGCCTTGGCTTCGTTTTGTTAACTTAGTAGTGTAACGGTGTATCCAAATTTTGTCGCAGATCTATAACATACTCTTTTTTATTAATATTTTTCTCGTAATTAGTAATTTTGAGTAACACGATATAGGTTGAATTCGTGAAAATTTCATTGTCGCTGTCAGTTCGTGAAAAATTCATCCGGCAAGAATATGTTACGTAATATAATCATATAAATCTAATATAAATCAGGAATGAAACATGTAAACGTATATATATATGAAGTATCTACTGAGGTCTACCTTTTATAAAACCCAGTATGTCATTGTTTTATTCAAGTACCTACTTATACTACTTATTATAATTTTATAATTCAATACTAACTGTTTATATTCTATTTTTTTTTATGTTAGTTTTTTATTTACACCATAAATATACCTATTTATCAAATCTAGTCAGCCGTTTCATTTTCTGCCAACACCTTTAGCACCGAACCCGTCATAGTAGTAAACTTGCGGTTAGTTCAAATTGAAATCCGCATACATTATTCTTATAAGTCAAAAAATTCATACAAATCTACATCAATAATCTAATTGAACTTTTCGTAAGGCTTCTAAATTCTCAAGGTGACCTTCCTACGTGACTCTCTGTTGGAATTACTAATCATTTTTATTGAAGATTGGTACGGTTACAATATGAAAATTTTAATCAAGCAAGAGCTTAGTGATGAGAGGCGTATTTATGATTTACAGGCGAAAATCATATGAATGTCCCACGTACATTTTATACCCTGACAGTGCTATTAATGAACAAGGTTTAGCGTCAGAGTAAATTTACGCAAAAAAAATATTTTTATTATTAGTCCAAATCCATATTATACAGAGAATAAGCAAATGTACTAGTGCAAATGTCTAGGAGTATGACAGTGCTATTAATGAATAAGGTTGTAACGTCAGAGTAAATTTCCGCAAAAAATGTTCTTTTATTATTAGTCCAAATCCATATTATACAGAGAATAAGCAAATATACTACCTTCTTGGAGTAAATATTACTCCCGTAGAAGCTCATACTAGATTAACCTCTTTATTTTGACACATTATTAATTACTTTATAGTACTTCAATCGTAACAATATTTATTAGACAGTGTGTGTCCACTATCTCTATATAGGTAGATATCAAATAAAAAACTGTTGTCTGATGAACACCAATTAAGGAGACGAATTGTTTGCACAATAATTATCTCTGTGTAATAAAAAATGTATTTGACTTCGAGAATCACAGTTTTAGCTAGGAGAAAATATCAATTTAAATGAGTATTAGTTGCTTACTACACCATTTTAGTAAAGATTTGAGACTTAAAGCTACTAAGAGACAGTTAATTCAATATTTTAATTTTTTTTTACATTTTCTATTCAGTTAATGTGTGTTTTATAGTTAGGTTCCAAACGACACTTGCAAAGTCTAAAACTGTTCTTACAAAACTAAAATAAAGGTTTTAAAAGTAATACTTTAACTAAATGTTTTGCTTACTCTATTTATAAAACCTAAAGTTTGAAGTGATTTTTGGATATTTTTTTTCATAAAAATAATGGTGAATTAGTGTATTAACGACCTCATGTGCGGCAACACTTTATTTTTTAAGCGGTTTTCAAATATTTTTAAGTGTTCTATTTTTAAAAGGCTTTCAAATATTTTTAATTGTGTGCTAACACAACCCCGAAATCGGGTGAGTGTTCTAATTTCTTTAGTTTTTACTACTTGCTTAAAAATTATTACCTTGAAGTAATTTATTATTAAAATCATAAATCCTCCCAATATAAGTCGCAAGGACCATAGCGAGCGAATCTGTATAACTACCCCTGAGATTAAAAATAAAGTTAAGATTGTTAAAACTTTTTTAGTTATGTTCTTTTTACCTGAAGCCTGGTAGTGCTTCTCATCCCCCATCTACTACTCAATGCTTCAATAGGTCGCGAGTATCACGGAGGAAATTTTTCTCTATTTATCTGGAGGATTATCTCATGTAATTTAATTAAATTTGTTAAAAACGTAGAAAACCATCATCATCATCTATACAGCTCTGAAAAGTGGTCTCTCGATACAAATGAAAAGCATTACCTTACCGAATACATTTTAATACAAAAAACTAAGTCTTAAATACGGTTATTAATGTTTAAATATATTGTTGTATTATCTCGGTGTACAAAAGTTCATGAAGTATGCTGTGAAAGATGTAAATTTGTCATGTCTTAAAAGTATATACATACTACCTTATTCATCATGATATTGCCAAATTGCCAATTAACATTGAATACATTAATCTCCCAATATAAGAAATATATCGTTGCTATGCGAGTGAATGATGTCCGCAGTTCCGTCATAAAGAAAACTCAGCAAAGTTCGCGTCTGACACCGTGTGGTAAGTAGGTAAATGCTATATGTAAAAAAAAGTCATTATAGGCAGTGGTGGACTCATCGGTTGGCGGCTGCGCCTCCCAGTCAGCTAGACGCTTCGCATAAAGACTTCCACTTACAGCTATAATTACTCTACCACCGAGAAAACACCCAGTGGCTACTTTGCTAAGTCTCTGTTTAATAATATGAATTTTGAATAATAGTAAGTGCAGCGTAAATAATCGTGTCTACTTTCCATACATTGATTGAGCGGTCACAATTTTTTTAAAGGTCGCGTCAACCTACCTTTAGTAATAATTGTATTTAATTTTACTTAGAATAATATCTTAGAATAGAATAGCATCTTTTTATTTGGTGGCCAGGGAGATTTGTAATTTGTAAATAACGTTTTGAGGTTATAATAACTGTCAAAACTCGAATTGTGAAGCTACTTTCAAAATTAATGCATTAAAATCAAAGTTTTTTTATAGCTTGATTCGTAAATATGGAAATCAATTAAAAATGCAATTGTGAATTTACACTTTTTGACCGAACGACAAAATAATATTTTTCCATAGTAGATAAAACAACGCGCAATCGACATTGGGTCCGAATCGCATTGGGGTAGTAGACCCTAAATGGCAAACGGACATTTTAGGGTCCGAATCGCATTCGGTTGGTATTCGTAGTATTATTTAAAATAATAATCAGCCTCGCAATTTAAATCCTGACTTTATTTTAAGATTCAATTTCCTGATATGAAATAAGTAAAGATAATCAGCGTTAGTAAATTTTTAGGTCAAAATTGGACACGATACTTTAATCCAACGCTAAACCTTATTTATAAAAAGAGGATTTTTATTATCTCACAGTGTTATTAACTGATAATAAAAATCCTCTTTTTATAATCCTTTTTGCTGAAAAACCTGCTGGGCTTATCGTCAATTTCGTTTTTGATTCATTTTACAATTTTTATTTCTCCATGTTTAATTTCCACGGAAACGAATAATCTGTTAATCTATTAATAACTAGTGGACCCGGCAAACTTTGTTCCGCCCAAGATATTTGAATGTAAAAAAAAATATGTAAACTTATTGGTTCCGCCTAACAGTCAATTAAGGAGCCAATTTAAGATTTATCGATAATATTAAATAAACCTTACATATTATGTGAACTGTTAGTAGCGTTTTATTATGGCAAATCTTATATTTAAAATTCTTACATTACTGACTGACTGACAGACAATGTACAGCCGAAACTACTGAATGTAGAAAGTTGAAATCAGCAATGACTGCTGAAGTTGCGTTACAGGATGGGTGATCAAAATCGTATTATCTCAAGCTCCCCCGTGCTTCGGAAGGCACGTTAAGCCGTTGGTCTCTGCTGCATCTGCAGTCGTTAATACCTACCAATCCACACTAGACCCGCGTAGTGGGTCATGGCCCATTCTCTCAATTTAATTTGATTCGATTCCATCCAAAGAGATGGCCTGAGTCCCAGCAGTGGAGTAATTAATAAGCTGATGCTGGATTCAAATCAATTCATTACCTTTCGTATTCCAGAATATTATAAATTTACATTAATGAAATTAAAAACTTTTTAATAAAAAGTACTAAAAAATCAAAAATCCCGTTTCAGAGTGGACCTTTTTTGCGTTTTTCATTAAGATTGTTTTTCAGTATATACAACGCAAAATTAATAAATTATAGACAACGCTAGCTATAAGTAAGTCCTTCCAATCCTAATAAACGCAACATTCAAGTGCTTACCTCTTTGGATTTTTCAGAGAATCGGTCTTGTATGTGATATTTGCGCATTCCTTGTCTAAACTAAGCATGTCTTTATCAATCTGGAGCGCTTCATTTTTGTCATTAAGATCTAGTTGCAGCTTAAATTTGACAACTTCCAATTTGTTGATCTTTTCCCACGCAGACTGACAACGGTCTATCAACATTTTCTTGTTGCTTTCGGTGACGCAGAGTTCCTTGCAAATTTAATGAAACTGATGTCGATACCTCTGTTTACTAATTTTAATTAATATATTTTCGAAGAGTGGGACTATTGGAGTTAGTGATGTATTAAATGACAGCTATTTTCTTTCGAAATTATAACTGTTATTGATCTGAATTTTCCTTTATTAAAAACCTAATTAATTATGAAAAACTATGAAACATAGAAGTTTATACGTGAAATATTAAAGTTATGTGACGCTTATGGTTCTTGGCGTCATATTTTTCATTCTAAATTCCCAACAAGAAAATTGTATTATAATTTTGTAAATAACATTAGAGAAAATTTGAAAAAGAAAATGTTGAAGTGGTATTCCAGTCCACAGCTGTCAAATACGACATAACAGAATAAATAGACATAACATAGCAATAATAGTGATAAATATAAAATCGTAAAACAGTAGATTAGGCCACATCTTCGGTTATCTTCGAAAGTATTTATCCGATCATAATAATTATTTCACCTATGGGATTCTACAATACATACAGACAACGTAAGCTATAATTTACGCTGGAAAACAGCTAGTAATCCACATAAACAATATTTGACTGGATATAAAATAAAGTTAGACACCAAAATTAGTCTTTGAAAATGTCTTTTTTTAAACTTTCCTGCTAAATTTTGTGTTGTACGTGCTCTACAAGAGGGACCCATATGACTCGCACTATCATAAAGTTTCCAGATTTCGTGTAGAGCCAAGCTTCTAACTCTACAAGCCCTTACTTCACACACTTTACACCTTATTCAAAACAAGTGGCTCGTCCGTTTCGCTAGCGTCAAATGGACATAAGATAAAATATTATTCATCGGTCATTACTTTACTGTTATACTATAGTTCCTTCTTAAACAAACAAAACTGAAAATTTTCTTACTTTGACTCTGCAATTGGAAACTCAAAGTTGACGCCACTATAGGAGCGGTGTTTGAGATTGTGATATACGATCATGAAGATTTTTATATTTTTATTAATTTTGCCACACTGCCACACTGAAAATTATTCTTAATACAAAATAATTAAAAAATCCACTTGGTCCCTGGCACCCTGAGATGGGAATCGAATCCACGACCTTTCGTAATCCGGGCGACTGCTCTAACCACTGAGCTACCCAGGACCTAACAGGGCTGACTAATCTTTCAAGCACTTGTTACTTTTCGCTACTACAGAGCGTATTCTCATCAATGTTCAGGCATTCAAACATTCCTATCTCAGAGTGCTACGGACCAAGTGGATTTTTAAGCATTTTGTATCATGAAGATTTTGTCTATAAATACTCTTATATACCTTTTTCAATTCTGTATCAGCAAGATCATACGTTAACTCGGAGCTTCTGCGACCGTCTCTGTTGGAAAGGCACTCGGAACAGACGAGGAGTGGTAGATTCAATTGTTCCAGTTCTCTCTCTGTAGATGCCTTTTCATCCTTCAAGCCCTGCATCTCGCGATCTAAACGTTCCAGCAACTCTTGCAAAGTCGACTTCCATTGTTCTATTTCGTACACTCTGTGAAAATTATTCTTACCAATATAAAATGTCGTGGATAGTACAATATCATACTTTCGTCACAGATACACATAAACTAACCTAACAATTTTAAGTTAAATGTAATAAATAAAAATATCTATACATAGTAGGTAAAGTTCTTCCAAAAGTTCTTCCAGTTCTTCTTTTCCATTGGCTATAGGCAGTTTCGTGTTATTTAAAAGATCTACACGCTGAAGAGAGTACACGTTGAGATCTTTTAAACTAAAGAAACCAAGGCGAATAGTTATTTTCTTAAAAACTTTTTTTATTTCAAAAATATTAAAGAATATATTATAGCTCTTTCATTTGATATGTCATATAATATAGTTAAAAATAAATCTAATTCAATTTTCTAATTTGGGTCATTGACATTATGTGAACGGAATTAATAGTACTTTTTTGTGAAAATCGGATGTGGTAAACAGATATACAGACACCCCGAGTGACCGTATAAGGGTTGTGTTTTTTTTGGTACGGATCCCTAAAACCTTAATTTTTCGTTATCTTAACAATAGGTCAGCTGAAATTGATACTTTGCTGTCAATGAATTTTTCGCATGTGTTTGTCACGGTTCCTGGACGGTTTAGGATCCATAATTGGATACGGCAGGTGGCGATATCAAAGCAGGATAATAACTATCAAAACCGTTAGTTTTTTTTTTATTTAACATCATCAAAAGCTAAGAAATATTAAAGAGAAACGATGAGCTCCAGAACTTTAGCTAATATACATAAAAACAATATTCTGCTAAACCAATCCAATAGCTTCGACTGCGAGGAAAGTAAAGGACATTTGGGGTATTTAATACATTAAAATAATATTGATAATTTATACGAATCATATAAAATACCCTTTGTGCCCTTTAATAGCCTTTGTTCCTTGAATTTCGAATTATTAATTCCAGCAGTTGCGACCAAAAGCTTGGTTAAACGATATACAATTATAATTGTAATTAGGATCACTTTGAGACACGGAAATGGGTTATAAAATAATAAAGCGTTTCGAAATTCATTCAGTATAAAAGGAGCATTTTAAAGAGCCAAGTGCGAGTTGGAATCGTTCACGAAAGGTTCCGTAAACATACGAGTAAATAAATTTTTATTCTTGATATGTTTCTGTTCCGCGGCTCCTACAAAAAAATTTAATGAAAAATTTTGTAAATTAAAAATCATGTTTGTTGCATAGGTGCTCACTAAAATTTAGTATGTTACTAAAATTAAAATGAAATACACTAAAGGTCAGTTCCACAAACGTCCATCAAGGTTTAATGATGCTTTTGAGCTCTAATGGATGTCAAAATTGTATGGGTAATGTCATTTTAAACTACTGAAAATCTTAATGAATTTGTGCAACTGGCTTTAAAAAATATATTTCTATTCTATTTTTAGTAATATTAAAATGTTATAACGGCAGTTGAAAACATCATCTGTGAAAATTTATCAGCAAGAAAGAAAGTTTGTAGTTATCACTAACTAAGTCTTAATAATAAGGTTCTGTTTTCACCCTTTAGGTAAAAAACTTTCAAAAAAGAATTTCCAAACTTTATACTCGTAAGTACCTCGCCCGAAGTCTGTTGTTATTGTGATAGCTATCCCAGGTTGTCTTGATTTTTGTTTCATTCCTCAGTTGGTTTGAACTGTAGCGAAGATCAAAGGCGTCCGCCCTTCTTGTGTCGGATGTGACCTTGTTAATAAAAAGGGATATTATAATTAAAATCCCGTCTACACTGAATTTTTTGTGCATATGAATTTTTAAAGCAATGTTACAAATTTGTGTATTCGACTTGTATAATAAGTAGGAGTTAAGTTCTTTTCGACATTACGAAGCTTTTATTGTCTTGATACCAGATAAATACAATACATTTTCTTAATTTGTGATATTATAAATTTCAAAGTTTTTACGGATCCAATTAGATTATAAATAACCCTAAGCTTATTAAAGTATCAAATTAACTTGTTTCCATTTTAGGAATGTGAAAATTTATCTTTTTGTTAAAATGTTATCAGAGAATCGATTTTGGTGTCTCGATACTAATGTGTTATGAAGAATCTAAAGATCTCTGAATTTGATTGGTCACTGAAAAGTAGTAGTAATTTAATATCTTGTTTATTGTCTAACGAAAAATATTTCCTCAGCGTCCGCCGGTCGGTTCTTCAACAAATAGACTCAACAACCTTCCCCTTGGCAGGCACAACTTCGGGGCAACTTGAATCTGTCATTGTTATGCAACGAAACCCAAACAATACGTTCGGAATCATAAAAAGTTTCAAAGCCATTATTCAAAGTGAAAATTGAGATACCCTGAGATTCGTATCTTTCGACGATAGGCTTACCGAGCAATTTTCGCGACTCCAAACCAGTATATTAAACTTTTCTAATTTCCCAAAGAAATCAAGACAGCCTATAAAATTATTGGACAATGAAGTTAGTGTTTATGAAATATTATTTCTTCCTCTTTGGCGGAGTAAGTATACCTACCTATACACCAGGAAATGGAGACAATGGAAAGGTTTACTTCTTGCAAGAATCTACACGTCTGATTAGCCACCACTCTTTAATTGTATTTTTGTGCTTATATTGTACCTATGTGGCCAATAAATGTATTTATATTCTATCTTTTTAATGTTGAAAATTAAATTATTTGGATCAATTTTTATACACAAAAGTCAATGGTTAAGTCCATTTAAATAAATATTTTTATAAATGAATCTTTTTTATTTATATTCGGTCTTGTCTACAATTCTAGGTAATGTATACAATTCATAAAACGTGTACAATATTATTCATTTTATACTTTCATTAAAACCGGCAATAAATGGGTTATGACTATAATTATAACATAGATAATTATGAATTAGAATTTAAATCCATAAAATTGTTATGTTTGAAAAAAAACTTTCTAACCTATTATAAGACCTATAGGTATAAGATAATAAGTTCGTTTTTCGTTAGTTTGTTTGTTGGTTAAAGTCGTTTAGGTACATTGATATATTTACACCAATATCTGTCTAATTTACACATTGCCGGTGGGACAGAAGATACTCTATATAATCCCTAGGAATTGTATACATCACTTAGGGAAAGTATATAATGAATCATTATATTTCATACTTTCCCTAAATTATACAGGTTACTGGTAACAGGATATAACAAATCAGATCAACAAAATTGTAAATGACATCATAGCTTCGAAGACTTCAATTGTATTTATGTAGCTTAGACAAAGTTTTAAAATACTAAATATTTCTATAAATCTAGACTTCTATTAGATAAGCTGTATGCTACTAAATTGCATATTAAATATTTTTTTACATTACTTCGTGTTGCTATCTTACTCTACTAAGTGTTACCATATCTAATAATAACAACAATACACTATTTATCTTGTCAACAACACAGCACAGTATAAAACAAGCAAGATAAT